CCCACCTCGGCCTCCCAAAGTGCTGGGATTACAGGCATGAGCCACCGTGCCTGGCCCATTTTAACCATTTTTAAGTGTACATTTCAGTGGTATTAAGTGCATTCATGTTGTTGTGCCTGGGCCCTCTTCCTAAGTGTGTAAAACCCTTTCTTATGCCTCATGCATGCCCCAGTCTATATGTCAGTCTCTGGGACAAATCCAGGTTGCCAGCGAGCCACTATAATAGGGAACAATACTTGAAGACATTATGCTGAGTAAAATAAGCCAGTCACAAAAGGGCAAATGCTGTATGATTCTACTTATATGAGGTACCTAGAGTTGTCAAATTCATAGAGACAGAAAGTAGAATGGGCCAGGCATGGTGGCTCACAATTATAATCTCTGCACTTTGGGAGGCCAAGGCAGGAGAATCACTTAAAGCCAGGAGTCTGAGGCTGCAGTGAGCTATGATTGCGCCACCACACTCCAGCCTGGACGTCAGATCAAGACCCTATATAAAATAATAATGATAAAGTAAGGAACTCTACCTTTGTATGGTAAAATTAAAGTTGTTCTTATATACCATAAGCAATAATAGCTGTTTCCACAATACTTATTTTCTCTTTTATAATTTATGACCCAGTATACCTCTTTAGATGCAACTCGAAATTGGATCTCTATTACTCACCAAAGAAGGGTCAGTTAGCATGAGCAATATAGTGAGACCTTGTCTATACAAAAGAAAATTCTTTTTAATTAGCTGAGCATGATCATCCTGTAGATCCTGTTAGCATGAAAAGTCTGTATGGTACGACAACAACTACTTTAAGGGGAAGATAAGATTTCTTTCTACTTCTAAGTGATGCTGTGATACCTTAGGCACTAAAGCAGAGCTAGTAATGCTTTTTTAGTTTCACACTGGCTTATTTTAACAGATCAAGGTAATCGTTATAAGATGTATATAACATGATGTTAACTTTGTGGTCTAAGTGTTTAGCTATCAAGCTGGATTCCTTAGTAGACCAAATCTTGCTGTCAAAGTGTTCTTGAGCTATACCTTGATGTTTAGAAAAAAAGTATTTGTGACATCTTGTAGGATCTACTGTTTGAACTTTTCGTCCCCTGTAGCTGCCAATTCTGCATGTACTAGTCCTCTAGATATAGGTTAAACTGAAGCAACTTGATGGAAGGAACTCTCCACAGGGCTTATTTTCCAAAGAAAAGTATTGTTTGAGAAGCAAAGCTACAAGCCTACCTAAGCATATCATAAAGCTGTCCAAAAATAAGTCAGAGCCAGTATTGTGGATGGAAATGTAGTGCCCGAGTCATATTCTGCTTAAAGTTGTAACAGATACAGATGAGTTAAAAGAAAAAAATAGCTGGGCATGGTGGTGTGTGCCTGTGGTCCCAGCTACTTAGTAGGCTGAGCTGGGAGGATCACTTGAACTAAGGAAGCAGAGGTTGCAGTGAGGTATGATGACACCACTGCACTTCAGCCTGAGTTACAGAACAAAACCCTATCTCTTTTTAAAAATTTTTTTAAATTTTTAATTTTTTTTAAGTTTGTGTGCTTCTCATTGTCCAAGCCCAGACCCTGTCTCCAAAACAAAGAAACAAAAAAACAGAAGGTCAATGTATGTTTCCCCAAGCATCTTACTCAGGGTTGTCCAGAAAAATAGAACCAGTGTTCTGTGAGAACCAATGTTATATATATGTATATGGAATCATAGATATATAGGAAGAGACTTCTTATAAAGGACTGGCTCAGGTGATTGTGGATGCTAAGAAGTCCCACCCTCTGCTGTCTGCAAGCTGGAGACCCAAGAAAGCTGGTATGTCCAATCTGAGTTCTAGTCTGGGTCCAAAAGTCTGAGTACCAGGAATGCCAGTGTCTGGTGTCTGGCAACAGGAGGAAATGGATGTCCTAGCTCATGCAGAGAGTGAATTTGCTCTTCCTCTGCCACTTTGTTCTTTTCAGGTCCTCAGCAGATTGGATGATACCCACGTGAATTTATGAAGTCAAATCTTCTTTATTCAGTCTCCTGATTCAACTGCTAATCTCTTCCAAAAATGTTCACAGACATACCCAGAAATAATGTTTTACCAGCTCTCTGGGGCTCCTTGAACCCAGCCAAATTTACACATAAAATTAACCATCACAGTCAAGGAGAATGAGACCATACAGCTAATATTTTAGGATATTGAATTTTATTTAGCATTCTGTGTTACGCTTGGCATTTTATTACTTTTCTGCCTTGTTATTTCTTTTGCAGGAGAGGAGTTCATTACTTCGAAAGTGGTACAATTTAATGATACAAAATAAGGATGACCTTGCCAGAATAATCACAGCTGAAAGTGTAAGTTCAGGGTTCTGACTTGGTGCACTGAGAAATTCTCCAGGAATTCACTTGGGGAAGCCCCTGACTTCCCATCACTGCTGGCTGTAGCTAAAGAATATGTGGTTCCTTCTCTACTGATCAAATGCCAAATCATTGTTATGCCAGGGTACTTAGGTTTGCTAAAATAAAATTTGTATGTTCTAGTTTATTCTTTAATAGTATCCAAAAATAGATTTTGTGTGCAACTATATGCATAACTGCTGTTTCACCATTCTGATGTTTTTTTCATGGTACTGTTTTGGTTGTTTTTTTAATATTGTTTTTGTACATTTTTAAATATACCAATACTTCTTCCATAGATATAATAAATTATTTCATATCATGGTTACAATACTTAGAAGATATTGAAGGGAGGAAAATTTTCCTAATTTGTAAACATATTGAGAATGCAAATGACTCTTGCGGTTTAGGGTGATACAGTCATCATTGTAATTCTGCTTTTTAAAACTCACACCAAAGTCGGAAATTTTCCCCACTCTGTGGCTATCGTTGTAGGAGACTTTTCTACTCTTCTTGCACCTTGAAGAATTTAGGAACACAGAGCCATGCTTTTATTATCCAAAGGTAATATGTGGGTTCTTTTCTGATTTAATTTAGGGAAAGCCACTGAAGGAGGCACATGGAGAAATTCTCTATTCCGCCTTTTTCCTAGAGTGGTTCTCTGAGGAAGCCCGCCGTGTTTACGGAGACATTATCTACACCCCAGCAAAGGACAAGCGGGCCCTGGTCCTCAAGCAGCCCGTAGGTGTGGCTGCAGTCATCACCCCGGTAGGTGACAGTGAGATCAGCAAGATCCTAGGGTGGGAGATTGGATAGGGAGTTGGGAAAGAATTCATTCTTCCGCCTGAGCAGGTGTGCTTATCCTGTTAGTTTTGTCATCTGTTCCTGGTTTCCTGATACTTTTGCTGGATGTGGAAGTGTGTTTCCTGGTCTTCTGATGATGTTAGGTGTGGTGGCAATGAGTGAAAGGATGCATTTCTAATGCCTGCAAAAGTGGGATGCGCCGCAGGAGGACCCAGGGGCTCTTCTGACTTGGCCTGGAGGCTTCTTCCTGGCATTGCCTAGCACCTCTGAAAAGATCTTCCGGTATTTATTATGTTTAAAAAGACTTACGATATGACACATTTTTAAACTTGCCATAGTTTGGAAAAAAGTGTTATGCTTAACTGATGGTTATCATCAATAGCAAAGCATGTGTGGACCCACCAGCAGGCATTGGGCCAGGTTCTAGAGATAAAAAGGCTAAGAAATAAGGTATCACATCTGCCTGGATGGGGCTGCAGTGTATTTGTGGAACACCCAGCTTTCCCTCTGGGTCCTGCCTTCTACTAAGTCCCATGTTAACTTCTCTCCTGTATCTGTCAGCTGGTCTCGAGATGTCTGTGCTTTTCCTGCTCAGCATAGTTACTGACAGAATCCCCCTGATTGCCTAGATGGACTAGGTTTGACTTGAAGGTTACTATTTACTAACTGTGCAACCGTGGCCAGATTTTCTCGAACTTGCAAATGAGGTTAATATCAACCTCACTGGGTTGTGATAAGGATTTAATTAATTTTAATTTTGAAGTACTTAGAAAAATACCTGATACAGAGTAAGTACTATATAATAGCGTTTTTCAAAATAAAATACTGTTATTATAGGTGTGTCTATAGGCATCTATAAATATGTATGTGGAAGGAAGTAATAAATCATCTGCCATTTTCAAAACCATTGCTAATATTTACTCCTATGGGCCTCAGGCCAAATCCAGCCCACTACCTATGTTTGTAAATAAAGTTTTATTGGGACACAGTCACACCCATTCATACACCTACTATCTGTGGTGGTTTTCACAATACAGCTGCAGAGTTGAGTAATTGCCATAGAAACTATACATTCTACAAAGCCTAAAAAATTTATGATTCGGCCCTTCACAGAAAAAGTTGGCAGACCCCTGGTCTAACTCATTTTTTACTGTGTTCAATTCCAAAAATATTTCCTATCTTCATGAGCCTTTATCTCAGAGTCCCTCAAGTTGGCAGGGGGTCAGGTGTTCTGAGAGCTCACCTGTGCAGCCAGACGGGTTTGTCAATCAGTTGTGCAATGGAATTTGTTCACTGACTTCCCAACCTGCCTTCCTTTGCACTAATGAGGCGGTCCTTCCTCTCATATACTTCCTCTGCTCTTCTAACCCCAGTGGAATTTCCCCAGTGCCATGATCACCCGGAAGGTGGGGGCCGCCCTGGCAGCCGGCTGTACCGTGGTGGTGAAGCCTGCCGAAGACACGCCCTTCTCCGCCCTGGCCCTGGCTGAGGTGAGCCGCTCTCCCTGTGTTTGTACAGAGCAGACAAAGTCCAAAAATTAATGTCTATCTGGGACAGAAAGAAGCAATTTTGGAGCCTACTTCTTTGCTTATGTCTCCTGATGCATGGTGTTGTGTTTTAATCTACTGGCAATTATTTTAAGTCAGCTCTAGCTCTTTTGGGGGAAAAAAAATGGATGAGGGATTTTCTGACATCTGCAGGCCATGTATTTTCAGCCTACTGTAAAATTGGTATCTATCCATCATCTTCATGAAATAGGCACTTAAACATGGATGTTTCTCACATTTAGGAAACTTCTTATTTACCATTCCCATTCCCAGTTCAACCTGCATTCCATTAGATCTTATTCTTTTGTTTGAAAACCTCAAGTGGCCTCTTGTGTCACTCAGAGTAAAGTCCAGATTCCTTAGTGGCTTTCAAGGTCCTATAAGATGTCACTTCCCACCCCCCAGTATGCCTCTGACCTTGTCCATCACGCTGGAGCCCCTCACTCTTCATTCATCTGCTTGGACCACTCTGGCCCCTGCCACTTTCCAGACCCCACCAGCCTTGCCCTCCACTCAAACTTTATACTTTCCCTCTGTCTGGAGCGCTCTCCCCCAGATACCTCTATGACTTGCTTCTTCACATCTTCACTCAAATGCCACCCTGTCTAAAAATCACAACTTGGCTGGGTGTGGTGGCTCACGCCTATAATCCCAGAACTTTGGGAGGCTGAGGCGGGCAGATCACTTGAGGTCAGGAGTTCGAGACCAGCCTGGTCAACATGCTGAAACCCTGTCTCTACTAAAAATACAAAATTAGCTGGGCGCGGTGGCACGTGCCTGTAATCCCAGCTACTCAGGAGGCTGAGGCGGGAGAATCGCTTGAACCCTGGGGGCAGAGATTGCAGTGAGCTGAGATCGTGTCACTGCACTACAGCCTGGGTGACAGTGAGACTGTCTCAAAAATCAATCACAACCTCACACTCTGATGCTCCTGATCCCCTTCTCTGCTTTGCTTTTTCCCCCATTATACCTAAAACCACCTACCCTATCACTATTTGTAGGCCTTTTCAGTGGGCAGGGCTAGGAGATATACATATATGTGTACACACATGTATATACACAATAAAATGCTACAGAAATTCCTACAGAAACTTCCAATTCAAATTCAGTCCTGTAGACTTTTTACTTAACTTCTTTTATATTATATCTGCATCTCTTTCTTTCCTGGTTTCTTTTTTCTTTTTTTTTGTTTTTTGAGACAGAGTCTTGCTCTGTCACCCAGGCTGAAGTGCAGTGCGCTATCTCGGCTCACTACAACCTCTGCCTCCCAGGTTCAAGCAATTCTCTGCCTCAGCCTCCCGAGTAGCTGGGATTACAGATGCCCACCACCACACCCAGCTAATTTTTGTATTTTTAGTAGAGACGGGGTTTCACCATTTGGCCAGACTGGTCTTGAATTCCTGACCTCATGATCCACCCACCTTAGCCTCCCAAAGTGCTGGGATTACAGGCATGAGCCATCGCACCTGGCCTCTTTCCTGGTTTCTAAAGACTCAGGAAATTACTAAATTAATATTCCATATGTACTCATTACACAGAACAACAGCTTCTGAATATTAATTTTATTTTTTAAAAATATTAATTTTAATATCACCAATGTGCCTATTGAAAATGGTTTACTTTTTTGGTATTTTCTCTTTCCATTCTCATTTTTAGTAATAAACTTTTATTTTAGAATAGTTTTACATTTACAGAAAAAATCGCAGAGATGGGGTATTTTCCCACATATCCTACACTCAATTTCTCCTATTACTAGCAGCTTACATTAGTATAGTATATTTGTTACAATTAATGAATGAATAGCGATACACTGTATTAACTAAAGTCCATACTTTAAAATCCATTCTCAGATTTTATTAGTCTGTACCTAGTCTCCTTTTTTCTGTTTCAGGATCTGGTCCAGGATATCACATTACATTTAGTTGTCTTGTCTCCTTAATCCATCTTGGCTATAAACATTTCTCTGTATTTTAAAATAGTTACACTGTACCTGCATTGCAAGGCTACAACCATTACATGCTCTATTCTCTCCAGTTTAACCCTCCTTTAGACTTAGTTCAACAAGCAGCTGTATGTTTATGCTCACCACCAGTGCTTATGCCAGTGTCTCTCTAGACATTTGGTGATCAGAACCTCAGTCTGTAGTAGATTCCTTAGGAAGGGCTTGTGGGAATAATATTTTCCCTTCTTAAATGTTGTCAGTAGTCTGGGCCTATTGTGCTTATAAATCAGTTTTGCTAGGTATAAAATCCTTGGCTCACATTTTTTTTTAACTGAATAACCTAAACAAAATCCCCCATTTCCTCCGAAAAAAAAGGGTGCCCCTGAAAAATCAAAAAAGAAACCAAAGTTCCTGCCCTTAAAAAGCAAACTGGTTTTGGTGTTTTGGGGTTTTTTTGCCCAAAACCAAAAAAAGGGTCCAATTGGTTTTTTTCCCCCTTTAAAGACAAGTAATGTCACTAGAATATGTCTTTGTGATGATTGCTTTGAGTCCATACTCTAGGTATGCAGTGTGCTCTTTCAGTACGTAGTTTCCAGCCTTTTTGTTTTATATCTCTATAAAGTTTTCAGGATTTGTTCCTCACCATTGGTTTGGTTTTACTCCTTTAGGGACTCCTATTATCCATGAGTTGAATCTTTTTTGTCACTTTCTCTTTTATCTTTTTCATCTTTTCCCTAATTTTTAAAAGTAGCTTTCTTTTTTTTATGGATACAAAATGTCTGATTTTATTTTATTTTTTAATTTTTATTTCCATTGGTTATTGGAGAACAGGTGGTATTTGATTAACATGATTAAGTTCTTTAGTGGTGGTTTGTGAGATTTTGGTGTACCCATCACCTGAGCAGTATACACTGCACACAATTTGTAGTCTTTTATCCCTTGCCCCCTTCCCACCCTTTCTCCCTGAGTTCCCAAAGTCCATTGTGTCATTCTTATGCCTTTGCTTCCTCACAGCTTAGCTCCCACTTATGAGTGAGAACATATTATGTTTAGTTTTCCATTCCTGAGTTACTTAACTCAGAATGATAGTCTCCAGGCCAGGTGCAGTGGCTAACGCCTGTAATCCCAGCACTTTGGGAGGCTGAGGTGGGTGGATCACAAGGTCAAGAGATCGAGACCATCCTGGCCAACACGGTGAAACCCCGTCTCTACAAAAATTACAAAAATTAGCTGGGCATGGTGGATTCTCTTTTTGATGTGTTGTTGGATTTGGATGTGTTAGCTAGTATTTTGTTAAGGATTTTTGCATCTATGTCCAACAGAGGTATTGGTCTGTAGTTTTCCTTTTGGGTTATGTCCTTTCCTTGGTTTTGTCCTTCCTACGAAGCCAGGGCGATACTGGCTTCATAGAATGATTTAGGGAGCATTCCCTCTTTCTCTATCTTGTGGAATAGTGTCAATAGGATTGGTACCAATTCTTCTTTGAATGCCTAGTAGAATTCTGCTATGAATCTGTCTGGTCCTGAACTTTTTTTGGTTGGTAATTGTTTTATTACCATTTCAGTCTTGCTGCTTGTTATTGGTCTGCTTGGGGTATCTTGTTCTTCCTGATTTAAGCTAGGAGGCTTGTTTATTTCCAGGAATTTATCCATCTCCTCTAGGTTTTCTAGTTTATGCAAATAAAGGTATTCATAGTAGCCTTGAATGATTTATTTCTCTTTTCTTTTTTTTTTTCAGTTTAGTAAATTGTTGCCACATGTTTGCTGTTTCTGTTTATAGCTTGCAAGCCAGGCTGGAATTCCTCCAGGTGTATACAATGTTATTCCCTGTTCTCGAAAGAATGCCAAGGAAGTAGGGGAGGCAATTTGTACTGATCCCCTGGTGTCCAAAATTTCCTTTACTGGTTCAACAACTACAGGAAAGGTATGTGACTCAAGTTTCAAAGAAAACAAATATCTTTCTAATATTTTATCTTGATAGGTTATAAAAATACTATTTCATCCTGATCACCAATTTTGGAAAGATTTCCAGCACAGTGTTAAAAGCTCTGTCACAGGCCAAGCACGGTGGCTCACGCCGGTAATTCCAGCACTTTGGGAGGCTGAGGTGGGCAGATCACTTGAGGCCAGGAGTTCAAGACGAGCCTGGCCAACATGGTGAAACCCTGTCTCTACAGAAAGTACAACAGTTAACCAGGTGTGGTGGTGCACACCTGTAATCCCAGGTACTCAGGTGACTGAGGCATGAGAATCACCTGAACCTGGGAGGTGGAGGTTGCAGTGAGCAGAGATTGTGCCACTGCACTCCAGACTGGGTGACAGAGCAAGACTCTGTTTCAAAAAAAAAAAGGTCTGTTGGTTGAATAAAGTAATATCTGACCATCCTCTGGAGATATTTTGGACAGTTCTTTATGGCATGAAATAGGTTCCTGCTTGACAAAACCAAAGAAATTGGGGTAGTGAGGGTCCCATTATTTTTGCATTACTTGTTGTATGTGAAGTGGGTGAAAGTTCTCCCTTGTATTTTTTTCAATTCTGGAATGCAGGTTTCTTTCAATAATGTAAAATTAGAGATTCCAGAAACACACAATTAATGTTGAAATGGATGT